TGCATGCCCTAGCGGTTAGACCATTTACTACGCGTCCTCGAGAAGACGGAGCACTGTTCCCACAGGACCGATCACCGATGGCCAATCGGGGCGTAGATAAAACAGAAGCTGCGTGCCCCGCAAATGATGCGGGAGCTGGGCACCGGGAACCACCCACAAGCCTCTCCCTAGATGTGATCTGGTCGGCACTACTTGTTGCCGGCACAGCAACATTGCGGACAACGTTTCGCTTTCTGTTTCTTATTGGGTTCCGTTGCCATGTGGGAGGTGCTTCTGCTGCAGCGACAAGTTCCTTGCGTGATCTAGCGCGTTTCGCAGTCTGCACGTTCGAGTTGTCGGCGTTAGCTATTACCCGCTGAAAAAAAATGTGTAAAGAAACCCGTCAAGTCGCCATCTCAATAACAACGGTGAAACTGGCAGCGCACAATAACGAAAGTGCCGCTCGTAGCCCGCAGCGACATTTTATAAGCTACCACACACCCTATGGGCCGATACCCAAGGCTCGGTTTCTCCGCAGCAACAATACGGTCGTCAAGGCGGTGCCGCTGAAAGTGGAGGTGGCGATACCGTATCGTCGAGAGAGCGTTTCGAAAAACGCACTATTTGGTTGTTTCCCATCCTCTTCGCCGTGGACTGATCGGACGTTTAACGATTGGTGTATGGGGTGTGGTATCTTACGCAAAAACCAGTACAACGGTCGCCCCCCTGTTGTACCAAGAACTTGGGAGCCGCCTGTACTAAACCCAGCACAAACGACCAACCTGTCCTAAAACCTAGTAACTTTGTCACGGCCAAGGGTAGGGGGCATTCAACCGCCGGGATAATAAGACAGCGCGGCAGAGCAAGATGTTTTTTTCTGGCGGTTTCGATTTTCAGAGGCCGAGGAGCGCACAAGAAAGAAGCTTATTATAGCTCGATTCGAAAGAAAGGGAGAGTTGGAGGCCGCTGTTGGTGGCCTTGCCTTGTGGCACACGCCTGTGCAAACGAAAAAAGCCGGTATATTTTGTCCGGAATGAAGAAGTGTGCCAAAAAAGACAGACGGACTTGGCATCAACAAAAAAAAAAATGGACGTCAAGAGTAAACAAGTGGTGATTCATGTTGCCTACTGAAGCCAAGACCCCAAAAGACGCGCAAAGCACACGCGAAACAACAGCAACATCTCACCGAGACGTGACACATTGCTAACGGAACTCCCTCTCCACTTGCAGTGCCAGGTACGAGTACACTTTCCTCCAAGCTAGTGCCACCACCAAACTGCGGCTGCTCTGTACAAAAACAACACCCGCCGTACGACTACTGAGCTATTCTTGACTTTCCACCTACAAGTCCATGACGGAGAACGCCAGTCCACCTATCATACAGTACATGACGAGAGAACGCTGAATGCAGCGGTAGGCCTGCCTTTATGAGGGGGTCGGCGTGGAGCAGCACAAATGCTACCATCACGACAGCGGCGGGCACTCTACCTGCTCTTGAGGAATCCGAAACGCAACTAACAGCCGTTACTCCTTGAACCGGCCGACATGCATGCACGCACGCGGCATTCAGCCGCACGCGCATGGAGAAATCCCTCGCAACATCATACCCTCACTGCCACCATGTGGCTGCGGGCCGCCTTTGGATGCCATGCTTCTCATCGAAAAAAGAAGACGCCCCTGAATGAAAGGCCGTTTGTGCTCAGCAAACAACGTCAAATGTCAACCACCGAATCAGCACCGATCGATTCTCGACTAAAGCTGAAACCGGCCGGGTGGTAGAACAAAACAGCCAGGCAGCGGTCAGCGTATGCAGATGAACCCTCTCGATGCAGACACACCATCCATTATCACACCGGAAAAAAACGCCCTACCACTACAAATTAAGAAGACACTAAACAAAAAAGAGAAAATAGGGGAAAAAAAACACTTGGATAGGTATATATACTACTATACTGGATGGAAAATCCACCCGCTCGACCTTGTACACACGATCAAGAAAAGAAATCCGCCGCAGTCAAAATCGCTCAAGCTTGTTTGTTTCTTAGTTGGGACTGTCGAGAGAAAACTTGGGCTTAGACTTTCCGATGCAGTACACCTCGAAGCCGATCTTGCGGAGGGCTTCGATGTCGACCACCCCGCGTCCATCGAAGACAAAGGCCGGCTTGGCCATGCTGTCGTAGATGCGCTGGTAGTCCAGGGTCTTGAACTCATCCCTGTAAATGGACATCAAGAAACGGTTGTAGATTTTTCTGTCAGATTAAGAGATCGTTGGGAGACCAAGAGCCTACGAGTTATCTTTCGTTAGAAAAAAAATTATCCAGTCAGCGCTGACTGAGCGGGAGAGTGGGTAAGTCTTTTATCTAACATTTTCTCACAAAAAAAAAAAGTTCCACTACGAAACCGAGCCAAAGCCGACAGCGAGGTAAGACGAAAACGAGCAAAAACTCGGGACGAAAAGGAGCTAAAATGTAAGGTGTTGGACTCGTCCCTGCGTATGAATACGAGGAAACATTTGCTGTACACTTCTCCACAAAAAAATTAAAAAAAAATCCAACAGTGCCACAACGAAAGCGAGCTTCGACGAAAGCGAGCTTCGACGAAAGCGAGCTTCGACGAAATCGAGCTACGTGCAAGATGAAATCGAGCACCATTCAAGAATAACCCGAAACCGCACACGCAGGCAGCCATGCCGCGGCGCCGCTTGTCTCACCACTCAGTCAAGATGGCCAGAGCGTGAGACCCGTTGGCCGCGGAGTAGGCGTCCTCGCAAGTGGTAATCTGCGGGGG